TAGAGATAGAGATAGAGATAGAGATAGAGATAGAGATAGAGATAGAGATAGAGATAGAGATAGAGATAGAGATAGAGATGTGATGGTTCCTTCTGCCTGTTACATACTTTTCAAAAGGGTTCAGGGCATAAAAAGAAATTTCAGTTTTTTCTTTTATTTATTGAATTTTAGGTAATCAATTTGAATTCATTATATTTCTTGCCTGAAAAATGTTTACTCTCTGAAGCTATATTGTATCCGAAATTCTTTTTTAAATACTTATTAATTATTCAAACTGAAAATCGATCAAGTGAATATGTATTCAGCTGAAGCTTAGTAACATGTATGAAGTAAACAGACCTGAAAAAAATTTGTAAATATATATACATATACATATATACAATAAAACCCATTAAACACATTTCGTGACGCACTTAGGCTTGTGTGCTGCTCTATCTGTGCTCATAAAATATGTAAACAACGCAAAATTATGCTTAAATTGAACGAAAAAACACATGTACATATATTTGGTTAATTTAGAGCTTCAACAATTGGATGCGGGTCAAGGTCGTTAAGCAGTTCCACCTTTTACAAATATTATTAATCAAAATATCGTGAAAGCCCAAACAACAACGACAACAGCAACAACACAGGCAATTGCAATGTAGCCCAGCGATGTGACTGAGTAATAAAATATTTGTGTTATTTTTGCATCGATTGGCATGCCACGGGCACTCGCCACGCGTCCCCCACGATTTTTGTACTTTTCCACCTGTCTGACTATCAATGCGTTTCCTTTCTGATGTTTGTTCCAATAAAAATTCAATTTTATATTCACGCACACTCACACACACACACACACACACACATATGCCAGTCGTATCAAACAATCAAAAACAAGTTTTATTTTTTGCATTATTTTTGAGCGCTTTTCCAGTTTTTCTTTTATACTTTTCTTCTTCTTTTTTGGCATTCTACAATGTGCCACATGTTGCAATCAGCAATGCGTAACAGCCAAAACAGTTGAATTGAATCAATATTTTTTTCGTATTGCCCTCTTAGAAACTAAATATTTTGCATGATATTTATTTAAAATAATTTCAATGAAAATAAGTGAAATTAATTAATATTGGCATTTGATAAAAATGTTGAAATAATTGGTAGATCTTAACAAAAAATGAAAAGGTGTGGCATTCTGGTATTACAATCTTAACAAAAGATTTAGCTCCGATGCAAGAATGTAAAAGTTTGAGAGTTTATCTTAATGTTTATGAATAGAGATAAGACATAAATGCTGCTGATTAAAATTCGTTAGGTAACTTACAGTTACTTGAAAGTTATTTATGATGACTTCAATAATTATATTCTCAATACTCTATTTATTATTATTAAGGATCCATTAACTGCATTTAACACAGAATCATATATCAAGTACTCAAATCAAAAAGCTCTACTGAATATATCTCCAATCCCATCTATATTTATCTTCAATATTAACTGCATGTTGGCTTACATTGTTTGCCGGATTCATATCGAACAGCTGAATCAGTTTCGAATAGTTGGGCAAACAATTTTCATTGCACTTGCGAAAGGGTCGCTACTCCGACAATTTCTGTGACACTCGAGCAACTGATTAACTTGAAAGTTTGGCGCTTCGGGCTCAAAGTCGGCAAGTTGTCAGACAAAATATTGACAGTGGGTAGATAGATCAATGCATTACGTTAAGCAAACTTTTATTTTTGGCATACCCCCAGACAGAGATGCAAGCGAATTGAGTAAGAGAGAGAGAGAGTTAGATAAAGACAGAGAGAGAGAGAGAGAGAGAGAGAGATAGAGAGAGAAACTTATCGTAGTCTCTTTGACTTACCGCTGGGAGTAGCAAAGTTTTAAAAGTCAAACTTGATTTAAGTCATTCTCTCTCCCACACACACACACACACACACTCACATACACAACTCAAGTGAATTGTTTCGAAAATATTCACACAGATATTGTGATAAATATGGCAATATTTTCTTACTAGTCGCCCCGCCCCACAAATTCACTCTAATCAATATTCATTTACGACGAGGCAGCCAACGCAGAGCCAACGCCCCCAAAAGAGTTGAGCCAAGTCAGAGCCGAAGCAGTCAATATTTGCAGTTGCTCCAAACTCTCTATTGCACATTCCTTAACGCTTATTGATGGCCCCAGACCAGACGCTCGCCCACTCGCATTTTAATTAGCCAATATGCAAATTGATTGTCAATTACCTTCACGTTTTTTCGCCCTTTTTCTTATGCTCTGGATATTATTCGTTCTGCATTACGGCAAATTCAATATCAATTAGCTGAGCGTCGGCCAGCGACTCTCAGCTAGCTTCAAATGTAAATGAAAAGCTGGAAAATCGCAAAGAAAATAAAAAGTCCAGCTGTCTTGGCTT